ANATTATACAAATAATCATAGTAGTCATTAGATTTTGTTAAATTTACAAAATAGTGATTATTGAAATAAACTTATTTCACTTTAGATTATTCTATTTAATGTAAGCTTCATTTTAAGACCAATATTGATATATTAAATTATATTGGTATTATGAAATGTATGAATTTTTCTATTGAGAAAAATACTTGGTAAATGGAAATGTGGATATTTATGGATTGACCCTTGTGATATGAAAAGAAATATGTGTGGCTATATGGATCAGCCAGTGCGGCTCTGTCGCCGGCAAGTAATATTTAATGGTAACCAACGGGTCAATTATTAATCAAAAATATTATAAAGAAATATGACCGATCATATGAAATGGCCAAGTGTTGCAGCCACCAGCAACAGATAATATTGAACGGCTAAATGGATCAGTCAGTATATTAATGATAACCGGTGATATAGAATGGCCAGGTGGCAACGCCACGTGCAACAAATGAATGGCTATACATATACATGGGTCGGCCAGTGCGGCACTGCCGCCGGCGATGGGCAGTACAAATTAAGTGATAGTCAATGAGTGAAATTAATGATACTTTGTATCTGACCATGTGAAAATTAATTAAAGTCCTTGTCATGAACAGACATTATATGGACTAACCTGGTCCTGAAGTATCAGTTGATAAATTCTCCAAAGTTATGGAAATATGAATATTGATGAGAAGGTACTATAAGTTACCACATGATTAATGTGATGTCGAAAGTTATGGCATAATGATTAAATGATATCATGGTATAGTAGTACTGGATGCTACCACTTTATGATTAAACAAAGTGATGAAATGGTACTAGAAGCTACCATTGGATGATTGAACAAAATGAGAAAGTGGTATCAAAAGCTACCAGCTATGGGTGATCACACAAAAATGATTTCTCAATATATTATATAAGTCTAAGGGGCTATATCAGATGACGAGATCACATTCGGATACGAGATCATACAGATATTACAATAAAGTGCTCCGGAAGAAGCACAAATGATAATGATTGTAGTCATGAACTACTATACACTGAGAAAAATCGAAATTGATATTATTATTACTGAGAAACAAGTACAAAATGTTCAGATGGTGGAAATATGGAAAAGAGGCAGTAAATACTCAATGAATACAAAATACGCAAAGATTACATAATAGAACCCATAAACGAAGGGTGCGTCTCGAGAGTGTAAAACTCCGTAACTCTGCCACCCATGAATGATATCTGGGTTCATATTTGAATAATATCTGGGTTCATAATGAGAGATCTAAAGGATCAAAAGCTCTTTTTCGCTTGACCCCTTGTGTTTCCACAGAATCTTGAAATGTGATGCATTCTTGAAGCTTTTTGATAAGTTCAGCAGACGTGTCAGCAGATTTGAATACTTCTCTCATTGAAGGAGATATAAAGGTTTGATATACTCCTATGTCTAAAAATCCAAGCAAACCATGAAAGAAGTTATTAAAGTTCAATAGACCTATGGGCTTGTTATGAAGTTTCAATTCTGCCCATAAAGCAATGGTAAACATTGTCATTAGCGTGCCATACCCGCCTGGAAGAATGATAAAAGCATCGCTATTGTTCACCATATCCATCATACAATCATGAATGGAATGAGTTAACATCATGCTTGTGGAATCCTTGACGACCTTTGTTGAAGCTCTACGAAAAGGTATGACACTTTTCACTTCTATCTCAAAACATTGTCCAGCCATTAAGAGACTATCATAGAAAGTATTGCTAGTCCCTCCATACAGCAAATTGATTTTTTGATTCCCCATCTCTTTGACTAACTGACTTACAATATCAATAGTTTGAGAAAAACTTACCAGTTTAGAACCACCAAGAACACATATGGTTTTGATCGGTTGAAGAAAATTATTACCTTGCGAAGACTCTGAAACATCCATCTATTTATTGATAAACTGAATTTTTCAAAACTTTGTGAGGCATATGATTATGATGAACGACTCGCTATTTAAATAGAAAGTTTTACAAAGCAATAAATAATTTTACTGTTTTCTTCTGACAATTGCAACTGACAGATAAGGTGTTGGGTTTTAATCTTATCTGTTGGCAACTATAAGTTTTTCTAGAAAATTACAGTACAACATACTAAACTGTATTAGTATGATTTTTCGTACTAACAAGACCAGTTTTACAAACTTGATCTTTTGAAATAATATTTTCGAGACTATAACGTTCTTCTTCATTTTTGAACTGAATCCATAAAGACATAAGCTCACGATGCACGTATCCACTAGGATGTGTCTCAAGAATCTGTTGAATCGTTTGATCCAAAGACTCCTTACTCAATCCATCCTTTATAAACGTTATTTTATCTTCTCGATTTTTGGACACGTACCCCACAGATATACATCGTGTGTCACAAGTCCATCGAGCGCATTTGAAGCATCCACCTAACCTTTTTGCTCTTCGTTTCTTTGCATAAGTACTTTTACCCATACCTGGCATATATTTATATGAATTTGGAAACTCTCCAGACAATCGAACTTGTGCTTCGATCAACCATCTAACATCATTTGGAATACCATTATTCATTAGCATCCTCAATCTTTCTAATCGAGATCGATAAATCCTTTTTATGATATTTTTCGGAAGAAAAGAATAATATTTACGGATATTTGAGAGTGCTAAATCCATTTGTAAATTCGGACCTTTGTTAAAGAAAATTGAATGAATTACCTGATAATTTATAGAAAAATATGATGCGTATGAGATACGACTCTGGACTTAAACAGTGTTCAAAAGTATGTGTGTCAGACAGCATGATACGATTCTGGATTTAAACAGTGGTTAAAAGATATTATACCAGAGCCTACACTTAAAGTGCATTTATTGCCGCCGAAAGATGATGTGAAATGTTTGTGATAAACATGTCACAACGAATTATTGTGATCACTTTAAAAATGTTTACCGATATTATTGATGATGGTTTGCATGATGAACTTATTCTTTGTGATATGAGATGCTTGTTCCCGATTGGTGAAAAATATTACTAGCTAAATATTTGTGAATCGATATATGATCAATCTGAGTATGAAAGGGGTACGATATATATGGGCCCACTACCCCTCCATGTGTGCTACTAGATATTATGGATCCACTAGATAGCCACATGTGTGTGATTCGTAACCTGAAGTTACGAGATGATTTGATCAAAGAATGTGTATATGACATATAACCTGAAGTTACGAGATGGTTTGATCTAAGGATGACACAAGATGATTATGAAAGAATGAAAATAAGTGTCATATGAAAGTGATGAAACTAGTAATATACTCACCTGATATGATGAACTCTTGAAAGAAAAATGTGCACACTACAAATGATATGAGTTCAAAGTCCTCCAAATATATGTTAAAATCGAGAACAAAATAGAGACTATATGAACTCCCCTCAAGAAATTCAATACTAAAAATACTGATCAGGGATCTGTTAAGATGAGGGGGAGAATCAATGATTGAAATTTAGAAATGATATATGCATCACACTGAGAGTGTGCGAATCATAAACTGTATGATACTGATGATGTGAAATATATGAAATGATATGTTGGTGGAATAATACGCTGGAAGCGTTGATATTGTGCAAATTGAAATCCCCCAAATATGTGATTAAAGGAGGCATATATAAACCATTGATGGAATCAATTGATAATGAGATATCTCAATATACTACGGAGAATAATGGAGATGAATAAGTGTCGACATAAACAAATGAATAGCGCTATATAAATAATATTGTCGAAAATGAAATCAGCTGAAATGTGAATATTGGAAATTATTGGCAATAAGACCATTAAAATCAATTGATGATGAAAATGAGTTTAAGAATAAAAATTGCACAAAGCATGATATGACATATTGTCGTGAATACCATCAGTATCTACAAATTCGAAAGAATTTATATGATACTCATGCAAATTATGGAAAGATTATTATGGTGAATATATGAAATACGCGTTGTACTCTTTTTCCCTTGGCTGAGGTTTTGTCCCATTGGGTTTTCCTAGCAAGGTTTTTAATGAGGCAACAAGGATGGCGTATTCACATGAATAGTGTACTCTTTTTCCTTCATTAGGATTTTGTCCCACTGGGTTTTTCCTAATAAGATTTTAACGAGGCATATTCATGGTATGATGAGGACTACTGGATAAATGATATGATTCTTCACGATGATAAGAGATACTGGAGTAGCTGTACTCTTTTTCCTTCGATCAAGTTTTTTCCCACTGGGTTTTCTTGACAAGGTTTTAACGAGGCAGCACATGGATATTCCACTAAAGATGATCTATTTGAGGGGGAGCTATGTTGTGCTTCCACAATGCTCAGGTTTTGTCCCACTGGATTTTCCTGGAGAAACAATGTTATGATTTCAAGATGATCAGGTTTTGTCCTACCGGATTTTCCTGACGTGCTGAAGCAACGGTACCTGATGGCCACAAGATACACTTGAAGATGTGCAGATTAGGCTTTGTTCAAATCAGTTAAAATATGTTTAGAAAATAGTCATTCAAGGGGGAGTGTTATGAAATAATAAAATAATGTATGTGAATGACTATTTTGCCCTCGATGTATTTGTATTATTACAAATTGTGCCATCAGGAGTTTCCTATAAATAGGAGCTTCAGTTATAATGAAAAACACACATAAGAGAATACATTTTCTCTATTCTCTCTCTTTCTCTCTAATTTTATAATAACAGCATCTTTGAGAGCACTTTTAGTGATACAAATTCTACACTCATTTGCATTCTTATTTCGGGTCGGGCAAGTTTTGTACCCGGCCCAATTGAAATTCCACTCATCTACACAGCCATTTTCATTCTCTTGCCCTGTTAAATCAAACATTTCCAGACCAAGCTAACCCACCATTCAAAATAATCAAAAAACAAAAAAAAACAAAAAAAAAACCAAAAGAGCAAAAATGAAAATAAACTGTGTATAGACAACCAACCATCCATTTGTATTGGAAAAATTCATAAACCACAACAAATCTATCACAGCACGGTTAAAAAATTAAAAAACACCCAATGCCAAATGCCAATATCCATAAATTAATTAGTTCCCACAGCCCCATATTTAGCAAGTATGTACTTGAAAAAAGAAAAAAAATCATACACAAAATATTACCCTCAACACCTATCATTCAACCACTTCAAAATATCAGCCCTCACAATCCCAACATTCTCATCCGTCTCCCCAAACAGCAGAGAATGCATCATCCCTTCATAAATCCTCAGGCTTTTATCCTCACTCTCAGCTCTTTCGTACAACTCCCGACTAACCTCAGGATCCGTAACAACATCACTGTCCCCATGGAGCACGATAAATCCCAACTTCACGTCACTCAACCTACTGCTGACGTAATCCGTCACCCTCATAAGCTCAACCACTGTCCCCAACCTCGGCTTTCCCCGATACCTCATCGGATTCGATCCCGCCACGATTTTCTTCTCCGGCACTTTCACCGATTTATCCAACAAATCGGCAGTGGGAACTATCGGCAGCGTAGGGGCAAATCTGGAAATCGAGGTTAAAATTTCTGGGATTGGCCATCTTGGCTTTACCTTGTCGGAAATCCTGCACATGGGCGCGATCAAGATTGCGCCTTTGAACAGATCTGGGATTTTGAAGTGAATCAGCAGGCAAATCGCGCCGCCCATGGATTCTCCGAACAGGAATTTCGGGATGTTCTCAAAGGTCGGATCTTGGGCCAGGACGGAGCTGAAGAAAGCGGCGCAGTCGTCGACGGCGCCGTCGACGCTGGGGACGTAGGCGCGTAGGCCGTCGGAGCGGCCGTGGCCCTCGAGGTCGAGGGCGAAGCAGGCGAAGCCGTTTTGGGCGAGGAAGATCGGGGTGGCCTGGAAAGTCCAGCTGACGTCGTTGCCGTAGCCGTGGACCATACAGACGACGGCGCGTGGGCGCGTGGGGGGAAGCGGCCGCCACGTGCGGGTGAAGAGGGTGAGGCCTCGGGGGGAGGTGAAGTGGGATTTGGTGGATGTGATTCCCTGCTGTGCGTAGTACTCTTCTTCAGGGGTGTTGCCCCAGTAATGGAGTAGTCTTTGGGTTTGGGGATTTTGTTCCTCCATTTTTTCCTTTTTTTTTTTATTTTTCTTTTTTCTTCAAAGATTTGAATTTTATTTTATCAGAATCAGATATGGGGGTGGGGGGTTTGGTTGGTGGGGATTGGTGAGAGACTATGATTGGTCAAGAATTAGGGATTGTGGGGGGAATTGCAAATTGGTCCTTTTGTAATTTTTGTTTTTTCGAAAGAGAACCACCTTATAGCTAGGACCTAGGAGTAAAGAAAACAGGAGCTTTTTGCGAATTTCGAAGGGTGATTGGTAAAGCTCGGTGCGAGAGGTGTACATAGTCAAATATATATCGGATTGTGAACTTTATTTACTTTTTAGTTTTTAACGACTTTTTTCCCGTTCTTTATGGCCTAGATGGTGCTCGTTTTAGTTTGTCTTATTATTATTTTTTCGGGCAACTTCCTATTAAATCCTTAAGCGCCTTTTCATATTCCTCCTCATTCCCCACACTTTTTTTTCTTCCTTTCAACTCCCTAATTCTTTAATTTTCTTCCTCCTAACTCCCTAATGTTAAAATTAAATCAAAACTAAAATGTTTTATTACATCATCCCACTAACACATTATTTTATTTGTTTTATCTTCCACCAACCACAACACATGATACTATTTTATTATTTTTGGATCAATCTTCTTCTCCACCCTTTCTCCCTCCCTCCCGTCACTCTCCCGTCTTCCTCCATTTCCGGCGACTGCTTGCATTTTTTTTTTTTGCAAGTCGGTCTCTCCGGCGACAAAATCCGGCGAGAAGAACTCCGGCAACAACAAATCCGGCCAAAGAAGTGATTCCGACGTCAAATTTGTGCGACCAAGATTTAATTTTTTTCGGCAACATTCGTGCTTTTTCCGACCAAAATTTGAAGTAGCAAGTAATATATGTATTATATGAGCATTTTGGGGTCCAAAAATCATGTTTAATTCGTATATATTTGGTTAATTTGTTTGGGATGAATTTTAGAAATTATTGTTCATATTAACCCTAAATCAATTAAATTGATGAAAATCTCTTATTTCTTGTTTATGTATACGAAATTGATGCTATTGTTAAGTTTTGTAATGTGTTATTCACCCTAAAACATAAAAATAAGGTGAGAATGATCACTGTACCACTATTCTTGATTATTGTACCTCTGTTTGCATGTATATAGTACCACTTTTAATACTTTTTTGTACCATATTTTCTTGGGAAATGTGAATTATTTTTATTTATCCAAATATTGTTAGATAGATGGAAGGGGCACAAAGTGATATACTAGGGAGTTGTACGTACAAGAATGAATTGTTTATGTTCTCTATGCACATTGGAGTCCAAAAATCATGTTTAATTCGTATATATTTGGTTAATTTGTTAGAGATTGAATTTTGAAAATTGTTGTTCATATTAACCCTAAATCAATCAAAATCTCTTATTTCTTGTTTATGTATACGAAATTGATGCTATTGTTAAGTTTTGTAATGTGTTATTCACTTAAAAACAAGAAAATAAGGTGAGAATGTCACTGTACCCTGATTCTTGATTATTGTACCTCTGTTTGCATGTATATAGTACCACTTTTAATACTTTTTTGTACCATATTTTTCTGGGAAATGTGAATTATTTTTATTTATCCAAATATTGTTAGATAGATGGAAGGGGCACAAAGTGATATACTAGGGAGTTGTACGTACAATAATGAATTGTTTATGTTCTTTATGCACATTGGAGTCCAAAAATCATGTTTAACTCGTATATATTTGGTTAATTTGTTAGGGATTGAATTTTGAAAATTGTTGTTCATATTAACACTAAATCAATCAAAATCTCTTATTTCTTGTTTATGTATACGAAATTGGTGCTATTGTTAAGTTATGTAATGTGTTATTCACCCCAAAACAAGAAAATAAGGTGGGAATGTCATTGTACCCTTATTCTTGATTATTGTACCTCTGTTTTCATGTATATAGTACCACTTTAATTCTTTTTTGTACCATATTTTCCTGAGAAATGTGAATTATTTTTATTTATCCAAATATTGTTAGATAGATGGAAGGGCACAAAGTGACATACTAGGGAGTTGTACGTACAAGAATGAATTGTTTATGTTCTCTATGCACATTGGATCAACGCTTGGCGAAGTGTACACTCTCATATCAAAGAGGTGGCCGAACGTTAATTTCGAATCCGTCGTGCTATGTTATATTGCGCCAAAGGAAAAAAAGAGAGTTACTTTGTTGGATGATGAGGATGTGAAGAACATGATTCGGTTACACTTTTGTTGGAAACTAAATATCGTAGAGATCATTGCCATGGAAAGAAATGAAAGACGGGATGATGGAGTTCAATCCTTCTCGATGAACATGAGCAGGTAATGTTGTTTTCATAATATTAATGAATTTATTATTGAAATATGGTGTAGTCGTATCATATCCTAGTTCATTAATTTTTCAACTAGTTCCATTATTTATAAATGTTTGTATTATTTTGCCATGAACTCAGGGAAAACGTACAGTCTGATGATTTGTCGGAGGGAGAACATGAGTTGTTGCAAGATAAATCAATCGATTCTTGGAGATGTTGCCTCAAAGGAGAGGGGCAAATATTCGCTGGGGCCGACGAATTTCGAACGAGTGTAAAAAACTATGCAATTGCAAACAAGCGGTCCTTTAAGTATCGGAAAAATGACAAGCAGAAGGTCATCGTTTGTTGTAGCGATGCGGATTGTGAATGGAGAGTATATGCATCGTTATACAAAGGCGATAAGCAGTTTGCCATCCGGAAATGCAACCTCGTCCATACTTGTGGTGTGTCCAATCTTCGGACAAGGGGGCATCCGAAAGCGGACTCCATTTGGGTGTCAACTACAATCAAAGACAGACTGAGAGATGAACCGAACTACAAGCTTTGCACGATATTGAAAGATATTCACAGGGATTATGGCTTGGAGTTGCCTTACAAAAAGGCATGGTTAGGGAAGGAACTTGCAATGCAAGATATTCATGGAGCAGACAGGGGATCTTACGACAAATTGAGATGGTATTGTAGCGCAGTGCGTGAGACAAACCCTGGAAGCATTGCCGATTGTGAGATTGACCACGTCGAGAATAAGTTCCGCCGATTGTTCATCTGCTTTAATGCTTGCCTTATCGGTTTTTTAACCGGTTGTCGACCGTTGATATTTTTGGATGGCACCCACATAAAACATAAATACAAAGGCATTTTGCTTAGTGCTGTGAGTAAGGATGCCAATGATGACTTGTTCACTATAGCATATGCCGTGGTTGATGCCGAGACGGATGAAAATTGAGAGTGGTTTTGCTTGAAGTTGAATAGTAGTTTTCTTTCCTCCCGCTTACCTGTTTCTAGAAGCTTCACTTTTTATTCGGATCGACACAGTGGGCTACTTAAAGCCATCTCTATGGTTTTTCCTGGCAGCCATCATGCTTATTGTTTGAGACACTTAGTCGACAACTTTAAGAAGCAGGTAAGAAATTTAAATTCTGTTATATTCTGTGACTAATTATTATTTTGTGAATATTGTTCTGTTTAAATTCTGTTTAAATATGTGAATAATTCACATTTTTCTGTGAATAATTATTTATTTATTTATTTATGTTTTGTAGGTGTTGAGGAAATACCCACATTTTAATAAAAAATATTGGTCTTCGGTTTTTATGAAAGCTGCGTATGCTCCTAAAAGGCAAGATTTTGATATCCATATAAATAATATTTTGACTAAGATGCCTGAAGCAATGGAGTTCCTTCAGAATTCTAACCCACAATGTTGGGCGAATTCTTTATTTGTTGGAGACCGTTGGGGGATCATGAATAATAATCAAGCAGAATGTTGGAATAACTGGGTAAAGTCGGCACGATTTATGCCTATTGTAGCCATGGTGGATCACATAAGAAAACAAATTATGACCATGATGCATGATCGGCGTGAAGGAGTGTCGCGGTTCACTGGTCAGTTGTGTGCTAAGCTTGAGAAAAAAATTGCAGCTTCCTACAGTGCTTCCCGCAATGTCAAAATCAGTCAATCAAGTGAATGGAGGTTTGAGGTTGTTGATGGCGACAAAAGTTGTGACGTAGATTTGCAACTTCGGACTTGTTCTTGTGGAGAATGGCAACTATGTAAGATGCCGTGCAAGCATGCATGTGCTTGTATTGAGAGTAGGTCAATGTCCGTCTACGATTTTTGCGATCCATATTATCGTGTCGGGATGTATAGGCAAGCTTATCAAGGTACTATTAACTCTATACCTAACTACGACCATAATGTGGCATCTTCCTCGACACATCTTGATTATGCCATTCATGCCCCGGATGTACGAACTCAACCCGGACGAAGGAGGGAAAAAAGGTTTCCTTCACAAGTTGATGTTGCGGTGAGGCGGTGTAAGCGATGTGGTGGTCGTGGACACAATCGACGTACGTGCAAAGAACGTATGTAGATCACTTTTGTGTTTGGCATTTGTGTTTATTGTTTTGGGAAAGTGTGTTGGAAAGTGTTGTATTTTTTTTTTGGTCGGAATATGTATTTTGATGATACATTATTGACATATTCCGAGTATGTACTGTAAGAATATTTTGCGAGTAATGCTGCAGTACATAAAAAACATTATTTACAATTCTGCATGGGTACTTAAGAACGTCAAACCAGGTATTCTCCTTTTACAATATAGGTACTAGTTTTGTGGATATATGTGTCTACTCATTTTCATTCCAAAGAGTAGGTAGTAAATGACACTTTATGAGTAATATTTTTTTGTACAATATACTGGCATTTCATACTGCAATATAGGTAATAGTTTTGCGAAGTTGTAATCGGTGTATTACATTTTCATTCCAGAAATCTGGTACTAGTCGATCAAAAACAGGTACTTCGTTGAAGACAAGGCGGTACTATAAACTTCAAAATAGGTACCATTCAATGTGTTGAAGTATATATTAATACCACTTGTAGTGTGTTGAGTTCGTGACCAATTTGTGATTAAACTTAATTAACCAAATACCAAA